CCCGTGGTTGTGCCTGGGAACAAAACACACCCAGGGGCAGCAGCAGCTTCCCCAGTGCAGCACCACACCCTTGAGTTTGTTTTGTGGGCTGTTCTCTCAGGGGTGACTTCATGACCTTTCTTTTTCCAGGCAGGGAAATTTAACATCATTCCTACCATTATCAATATCAGCTCGGGGCTGGCGCTCATGGGAGCTGTAAGTGAATGTTTTGTCTTAAAGTAACCCCAGGGGACCCAGAGCCCAAATGGGATGAAAACGGGATGGGGTGTTTAAATCTTCTCCAGCAGAATCTTTACTATTCAGATTACTCAGCCAGGTGTATGTCTTGTGCGTGTCCTGTCTTAAAAACATTTGTTAAAAAACCTGGTAGTCTAAATAGTCCCATATGGAGTATATAAAATATACATGCCCTGGAAAATGCATGGAGAATGAAGGAAAACACTGCTTCTACAAGTTATTTAATTAATATTCATTTTTAATGAGATCAGAATACTTCCTCTTCCGTTTCAAAGATAAAACACAAGTTCTTTCCCTTTGCAGGGAGCTTTCTTTTGTGACCTGGTGCTGCTGTATTTGATCAAGAAGAGTAACTTTTATCGAGGCAAAAAGTATGAGGAAGTTAAGTAAGTGGGCCTGGCTTTGTGTTAAAAATCATGGCTTTTTGTTAAGAGTGATAGAAATAGGAGGAGATACAGGAGCAAAATTCCAGGGAAATATATTATTCCAAATTATTTTGGCCAAGTTATTGGCTTCCTCTGTAGTTCCTTGCTGCAGTGAGCTGGGGAGCAAAGGCAGCTGCTGTGCCATGGTTGGACTGGCAGTGGCCTTGAGCTGTTGGTCCCTAATGACTGAGGGTGGAATCGGGACAGCTCTAAGAACCTCATGAAACTGGGATTTGGATCCTTCACTGTGTGGAGGGGCCTTTGGGGTGAGGTGAGGTGAGATAGGCCTGGCTGGGAAGGTTTTTGCCTCCTGAAACAGACGCAGGCTGCTCACCCTGTCACTGTGCTTGTTTGCCCAGGTCCAACTCCAGGAAGTCTTTGTCCAGCCCGACACTGAACGGGAATCAGAGCCCGGAGCAGCTCGATGGGCTCTAGGCACAGCAATGGCTCTGCCAGAGGGACTCGTGCTCCAGGAAATCCACACAGGTGTGGCATCACACCAGCACTGGGAGGTGGAGATACCCCAGATCAGGGTTCCCAGAGAAAAAAAAACCTCCTCTAAAGACTGCCTTTCTTCCTTGAGATTTCTCTGGTATCCTGAACCTGCAACAGTGTGTCATCACTATGGATTTATAAAGGATTTTTATAAAAGGACAAAGAAGGCACCAAATGAATGTTTTATATCCACTGATAGATATATCTGTACTTATGTCAATAGCCAGCGTTGTCCTGTGGCTGTGCTTTGCTTCCATGTGCAGAAAAGCTGTGATGGGAACCACCACTGGCACTTTGGGAAGGGCTGAAGCTGAAACCCAACCTGTTTCCTGCTCTGCTGCCTTGGCAGCCACTGCCTTCAGCTCCTGCCTGGGTGATGTGACACCAGGTGTGAAGCAGCAGGACTGCTCTGCTCAGGAAGTGCAGGAAATGTGGCATTGGAGCAGCTCTTGGAGCTGGGAAGGGGCTGTGACCCTGCAGGGCCTGAGGCAGGGGGGACAGTCACTTTTTATAGAGGTTAATGCACTGAGAAGCAAATTGGCCCTGGAAGCACCTGCACAGGTTCTGCCTCTTTTTTTCAGTGCCTGGTTTCATTTGCTCAGGATTGTCCTTCCTGTATCACTTCCTCATTTCTTGTGGTGGGCAGATCTGGATGGGGCACTCAGTGCTTGCTTCTCACAGCACCCTGGGCTGTGCTGCAGAATGGAAAGGGCAGCTCTGCCAGGGACACAGCTGTGCCAGCTTCCTCCAAACACACCAAAGAGCAGGCAAAGTAGGAATTCTGACATCTGCCTGCTACTTCAACACCAGTAACCTCCAGGAAATACAAGGGCTCCTGCTGCAGCATCTGAGGGTGGCATCAGGGAGCTGCTGCCATCGAGTGTGTGCACAAATGGCACCAGCAGCTGCACCCACCTCTGCTTTAACTTCTTTAAAGTCATTATTCTGAGGTACAGGTTCATCCTAAATTAAAATTCACCTCTGTTAGCAGTGGCAAACTCTGAACCCAGACACCAAACCCCACCCAGTCTAGTTCTCCCCCTCTGCTTCTGTGTATTGAGCAAAAAATGGGGCTAGGAAATAGTACTAAACAGTGGATTCATTTAGGATAAGCCATGTACCTCTGGTGCTCTGATCTCATCTTCTCTCCACGTCAGAAGTCTCTCCTCAAGGCAAACACAAGTCACCACGTGGGGAGCTGCACAAGTTACCACCACAGCAGCCCAGGCTTTTAACTGCCAGGGTTTAGCTGGAGTTGAGTAATTTCTAGATGGTGAAACACACAGTGAAGCCCCTGTGTGACATCAGGGCCTGGCACAACTCCTGAAAACCAAGCAGTTCCTCCAACGTGCAAAGCTGACTTTACTCTGCTGAAACCATTGTTTTAACTTGCCAAAACATCCTCCTGTGAGAGGACCAAAGCTATTTCCTGAGCCTAACTCATCAGGCCTCCCAGCTCCCCTAGAATGTTTCCTTTCTTTAGACTGTGTAACACAACTCCTACAACCCCTGCTGTTAATAAAACATAACCAGATTCCTTCTCAGGAGGTTCTTGACTTTGACTTTTTTCTCCTTGTGTTTCATGTTCAGCAATAAAATGTGTCACTTTAGGCCAGTGCTCCCCAGGAGTGTTCTGTAAGTGTTTTTTTCAGGTCACACCAGCTTCTCTTGGTGATACAGTGATGTGAGCAAATCAATGAATCACTTACTTTTGCAGGAACAGGGACCAGTGCCAAGCACCTGTGACAGTGTAACTTACTGATGGCAGTCATGGAAGAGAACGTTTGCATATACATTTCTGTACCAAACCTTTACATCCACTTAATTGAGTTATTTTCTTGTGTCGGTGGAATTTTTAAAGTAATTTAATTATTTCAGAGTGCTGTGTTACTCCTCTACTATTTGTGTGTAGTGACAGGCAGCACATTCAGAGGGGGGTGTAATTGGTGTATGTATCAAAACACAAAGGATACAAGGGATTATATGAGTCAAACCCCAAAGCTGCACCTGCTCTTAAGGAGAAATTACCCCTTAAGAAGGAAACAAATACAGGAGGCATCCAAGCGGTGCTTCACATTCAGTTTAATTAGAACAGTGCTACTGATTAACTTGTACTTGGACGTAATTTACCAACAGCATTAACGACACGAGCCACGGACAACAGTTTGGAAGGTGAGCTGGCCTATTGTGTAGTGACTTTTGGCAAGAGTCCCGCTGCTCCGTTATCCCCGGAGCCGCTCAGTACACGTGAACCATTCCGTACAGGAAAGTCCAGAACAGCACGTAGGTGAAGAGCCCTCCCACGAGCCCCCCCGTGAACAGCGGCCTCCGCGACTTGAAGTACTTGTTCCACCGCCGCCCGGCTTTCAGCACCAGCAGCACGGAGAGGAGCACGGAGGCCAGGAAGTAGAAGATGAAGCCGTGCAGGCCGGTGAGGCCGAGGATCCCCGCCGTGGCTCCCGACAGGGCGGACACCGAGGTGCGGCAATAGTCCAGGATGGCCGCGTTGCCCCGCACCGCCGCCTCGCTGATGAACTGCGGCCCCTCGCGCTTGGCCACCACGGCGGCCATGGCTCCGCGCCGGGCTCGGGCAGCTCCTCGCTCGCACCGACACTGAGGTGAAGCAAACACACGCTGTACGAGCCCGCCCGCCCTCAGGCCGCCGGGAGAGCCCGGCGGGCCCTCCCGCCCGTCCTCCCCTTCCTCCATACCTCTCATCCACGAGCGGCGCCCAGCCCCGCCGCTCCGTCAGGCCTCGCACCGTGCCAAGGGACCTCGCACAGCGCCCGTCACCGCGGGCCGCCCGCCGGGCCCAGCCTGCCCCGACCGCACCGCCGCCACCGCCCGGCCGCCATCTTGGCCTGGAGGCCGACGGGACGCGGCCGCACGGGCGGTGCGCCGTGAGCGGGGCGGCTCCGGATTGGCTGATTGGGTATGAGTGGGGGCTCCGGATTGGCTGACTGGGAATGAGGGGCGGGGCCTGATTGGCTGGCGGGGAGCGGGGGGCGGAGCCGGGCGAGGCGCTTTTGTTCGGGCGGCGGCGGCGACGGGGCGGACATGGCGTTCGTACCGGGACAGCCGGTCACTGCCGTGGTGGTGAGCGGGGATGGGACAGGGCAGGACAAAACGGGGGCTGCAGAGCGGGACGGGGATGGCAGGGCTATGCTGTTCGTACCGGGACAGCCGGTTACCGCCGTGGTGGTGAGCGGGGACGGGAGGGGCGGACATGGCGTTCGTACCGGGGCAGCCGGTCACCGATTTTCGGGGGATACCGTGCCAGAGGCTGCTGGCGGGGATGGAGAGGGGGATGCCGGTAGTGCCCGGGTGTGCGCTGTCAGAGGGTCGAGGTGCCGCCCCAGGGCAGCTCCGGTCGGCGGGTCCGTGGAAGGAGCGAGCGAAGGGACAGGGACACCGGTGCCGGTGCCGCCCGGCAGCGCCCCGCGGGCTGTCGGAGGGCGGAGGTGCCCGGGCAGTCCCGGTCCGCGGGCGGAGGGCGCGGCCGCTCGGTCTGCAGCGCCGCCGGCCCCGGTTGCCGCCCCAGCGGCCGCTCCCCGCCGCGGGGGCTGTCAGATTCTCCGTCCGCGATACCGGCTGGGAGAACAGGGGGGAAACTCCTCCGGGCGGAGGGACCGAGCCCTGGCCGGGGCTGCTCGGGCGTTGCTTGAGAAAACAGGGAGTGAGCCCCGCCGAGAAGCGCGTTCTCCCGGTACCGGGACCTTGCTGCAGCCGAGCCCAAGCTCGGTGCGGTGCCCTCTCTGCGAGGGCAGGGGCAGGATAGGCACCTGCTTGTTCTGGGTGGGGTTTAGGAAGCAGAGCTTTTAAAGTGAGATAATGGCTTTAATCAACACAAGCAGTGCAAGTGAGGGATTCCGTGCTTTCCCCTGGCTGGAATGGTAACTGGGGTTGTTCTTGGGTGTGTGGCCCCAGCTGAGGACACGGATGCTGTGCCCGGGGAGTTTGGAATTTAGTCGGGAAGTTCAGGGTCTGTGTGATAGGGCTGCGAGAGGAGAATCACAGAATGGTTTGGGTTGGAAGGCACCCATGAAGGTCATCTCATTCACTCCCCTGCGTTGGGCAGGAACATCTTCGATTAGATAGGGCTGAAGCACCTTTTGAGAAGTTATTGTGTCAGTTAAGACCGTGGCTTTTCACCGTGGCTCAGGATTTGCACCAGCTGGCATTTCTACAATGCTGACATAATGCACAAAGCTGGTCAGATGCCTCTGTGCATCGGGCAGTGAGGAACCTGCCCCGGGTTACAAAAGTTATCCTGAAAAAGAACCATCCTAATAATAGATTGTTATTTCTGCTGATAGGACTAGCAGGAACATAGGGCATGTGGATAACGAGCAAGATGAGGCTGGTCATGAGTGGCTGCTGGTTATCAAGGCATGAGTCATGTTTAAAGAGACCTGCTCTGGTTTTAGTGTTGTTACTTTCTATTCCCGGGCAGCAGGAAAGCTCTGAGTCATTGAGGTGCTGGGCTGTGTCCTGGGATCTCTGTGAAAGACAATCCAACTGGATCTGAAGTATCTGTGTCTAAAATGCACTTGAAATTTCTTCCACTCATCACAATACTCAGCTGTTTGATCTCTTTCTCTTTCCAGCAAAGAATTGAAATACATAAGCTTCGTCAAGGTGACAATTTGATTCTGGGATTCAGCATTGGGGGTGGCATTGATCAGGACCCTACTCAGAATCCTTTCTCTGAAGACAAGACTGACAAGGTCAGATAATCTTTTTCTGTATTGGCTCCCTCTCCCAAAGGCTGAGACACCCATCTGCCACAGCTATTCTGTTGCCCCATTATCACTTGCATACTGAGGTTATTCAAATTACTTCTCCACCTTTTCTATTTTCCAACATTGCACAAGCCTGTTTTTAACTAAAACCTCATAATACACTACAGTACTGAATCCTCCCATATTTAGTAGATGAACATTTAATTTTTTTCCCAGGGTATCTATGTAACAAGGGTGACAGAGGGAGGCCCAGCAGAAGTTGCAGGACTCCAGATTGGAGATAAGATCATGCAGGTAAGCACCAAGATAAGACAGTACTGATGTAGTACCAGCTGCACAGTGCAGAGAAGCATCTGCTGGGGAAAATAATCTTTTGGGTACTTCCCAGGACAGTTTGTGGGGTTTACAAACAAACTGAGCTGTGGCATAACCATATCCACTACGTGATTCTGATAGAACAGTTACAGGAGTGAGTCCCTGCACCTGCCTTATTTTATGTTTGTTTTTTTTTTTTTTCCCAGGTGAATGGCTGGGATATGACAATGGTGACCCATGACCAGGCCAGGAAGAGGCTGACCAAAAGGAATGAGGAGGTGGTACGGCTGCTGGTGACCAGGCAGTCCCTGCAGAAGGCTGTGCAGCAATCCATGATGTCCTAATCCATCATCCAGCTGGGGAGGGGGTGGGGAGGGAGATGTATAGACTGGTATCAAAGAAAGAAACAAATATTAGACTGGAACAGGTTGTCTGGAAGGAGTGCATGTTCCTACCTGTGGTAAACACTACTTTTTTATTTTAACTTCTTCTGGTGTAACTGGCAGTAGTAAAACAATACTCCCCTCAGCACAGTGCTTCTCTAAAGTCTGCCCTGCAGGTACATGGCAAGACTTCTGTAGTCATGGCTTTCAGGACAGGACAGACCCAGGTTATCTAAGAGCAACTGGAAAAGCCTTAACTTGGACAGGATTCTTCTGTAGCCTAAAAGCCTCCTATTTTAGGAGGAAATGTGGTTTCTGCTATGGGAGACCAGAGGGTTTGCTGTGCCTAAGCTTTTAGAAGGGAGCTGTCCTGTCCCCCCCACCACCAAATTCAAATGCCAGAGTTAAGAGCTGCACAGTGCTGTGGGGAGGAGCACTCTACTAATCCTTCACTGTGTGCAAGATAGAGAGTGGCTGAAGGGTTTGGGGCATTACAGTTTCCTGCAAAGATTCCCTGGACAAAGCAGCCTCTTCAGGCAAGAAACAACTGAGTAACACACAAGTGTTACATCAATGCCTGTGAAATACACTACAACTTCATGGACACTACAGTTCAGCCTCACTGGCAGGGTAAAAACCTGAATTCTCCTTGTTCCCAATTTGTACCATCAGATTAACTGAGTTTAATTTAAAGGAATATGGAGCAGGAAACAAAACAATGTTCCTGAACTTATCAGAAATGCTGCTCGTAGCTGTTGAGTTTTCAGTTTTTCATTCCACTTCTATCAGACTTGAAACGGGAGGGATTTTGGTTTGTCTTTTAGAAGGCTTTGCTTAAATCAATGACTTGTTGGATGGAAGAGATGAATATGCCAGTAATTTGCAGAAGTGCCTCTTGACCAAATTTAAACTTCTAGTAGGATACTCAGTGGTTCAAATCAACATGCCACAGGACTGAAGATTCTTGCTGCAACCCTAAGTCCATGATCTAGCATCCTGTGGTTTGTTAGCCAGTTAGCTTTACAATTATCCAAAACCTGGAGTTTTTAATCCTCTTCAGTTGATCTATACATATCTTTAGTTTCCTTAAGCAGCCTTGAGGTAAGCTGTTGTAAATAGAGCAAGAGGAGGTGGCAGACTAATTTATTCAGTACCTTACTGCTCTGCCATTGTGATTGATGCATCTCAGACTGTTCTGTGCACACCAGCAGATGCCTACTTACCAATTTTGTATCTCTGGAATTACTACAGTCCTGCTTTGGAGTTTTGTAACTTAAGAATTCAGTAGTAAATTTGAAGTCTTTCAAGTTGGGAGTTATTTTTGTTACTATAAAGATACACTGCTATTTGTACTGCTTTTTTTCACTTGATTTTACACACAATAAAACAAAGTTGGTTTTCCTGAGCTCTTTCTCCTTACATTTAAGAGTGCCACATCACTTGGGTGTCTCCAGCTGAGACCTTTTTGGCTCAAGAGTAGATTGTGGAATTACTGAAATCAGTAAGGTCTGGTTTCACTGGTGGGGAACTGTCAAACCTCACCTGGGATCTAGTTTTCCTTAGGCTGACACCTAGAAAGACACATTGGGTTTCAGGTATTCCAATATAAATGCACAGATTCCCTTCTAATTACTTAGCACCTTTGAAAGAGCTTTCAGTGAAATAAGAATACAGTTTCTGTTTGTTAGGATTTTTTTTAATAAAGAGTTCAAATTGAAATATTTGTGCATTTGTTACCAACCTCATTTTGTGATGTACCATTGTGGCCAGCCTGAGTGGTGGTGGACTGTGAGTTGTCTGGGAATGGTCAGCAGCAGCACTTGGATCCACAGACAGTCTTCAGTCATTACTTAAAGATATTAAGTGGTTGCTTAAACATGATCTCAGATTTTTGGAAGACAGAACTCTGCTCTTTGTGCTTCACCTCCAATGAGAAAGACATCACTTTGGTCTTTCTCTTCCCTGTGGTTGGTGAAAAAAGAGCCATGTGTTGCTTGGACAGCTCCCACTGAGCTGTGTGTGCAGCTTCAACAGGCACAAGTGTCCCATGTGCAGCTGAGAGCTTGCTGTCCTTAAGGCATCTGGCAGTCAGTGCTTGGCAAGGCAACAGTTTGTGTTCCAGCCCAGAGAGGATCAGGGTAGAGACGAGTTCAGTTTAAAGTTTTAGTCTCCACAAGTGGTGGTTGTTATTCACAGGGCTCATACCCTCGTCTCCTGTACAGGCAGTAGTGCTGGGCCATGAAAACAATGTCAAATGCAATGGAGAAGACACCCAGGCCAAACTTGGTTGGATCTCCAAAGATTAACTTCCATTCATCTGTCAAACACAAAATTAGAGTTAATTCTGACTCCTCAGGTGTAGTCTTGTCTTAAGACACTTTAGAGAAGTTCATGTCTATTACCTGGACTGCTCAGACACACCTAAGACTGCAGTGCACACCTTATGCCAAGCTAATTAATAACTGTTCCTGTGGTTTCTTCAGGATGACTACTTCATTTTGTATCTTGGGGGAATATGAACAGCTTCGTTATCCTTTCTATAAGAACAGCTGCCCACAACAAAGCACAAACATCATTCTTCTGAGATAACCTACTGCTTTATATCTGCTTTGTAGTGGGACCTCCCACCCTATTAAAGATAGGCTCCAGCACCTCAGTTCCAGGCTTACCATTGTTGTATGACTGCAAAAACATCTGGAGAAGGCTGAAGCTTCCACCAGTGAAGTCCAGGAACACATTTCCAATGCTCCATCCCTCAGTGCTCTTGCGACGGAAATTCATGTAGGCCTGGGAGTGTGACAAGAAGTCAGAGTGTCATGCACAGACATTTGAGACTGACATTCAAGCAGTTTTCACTACAATTCTACTGGTTTGTCACTATTAATAAATAATTATTGGTGGTTTAATCTCTTCAGACTTTCAAGAGCACGCACTGCAGGCTGAGGGTGGCAGGGATATGAAATGCAAGCAGAATAATTCACATTTACCTGTGGGAAGTATTTGATCAGTGTCACTGCTAACTTAATGTAGGAGAAGCAGAACAAGAACTGCAGCCATGTCATCACCTCAGCTGCAGCCAGGAACAGCGTTGTGAAGGTGAAGATCCATGCAAGTGCCAGGAGTCCAACAACAGTTTTGGATACTTTTTGACCTGCTCTCTGAAATAGGAACACAAATATATTTTCACCTAGAAACACTGATATATTTTGGCCAGGTCACAATCCCCAGACACAAAGATACTTTGTTAAGGACAGTGCAACACTACAGTCCAAACCTGTTTTACCAGTCAGGCTGGTACCACAGGAGAACTTTAAAATTAAGCAAGTGCTACAGCAACCAGCTGGAGGTTGGCAAGACCTGATGAGCAATATTCATATCAATCATTCAAAACACTTCTGTCCCTGAGAAAGGGGGAACAGTATTCTTGAGTATTAATGGTGCATAATCTGTAACAAATCTCCAAAATTCAATCTGATGAGATCAACAGTTCCTGTATGTGCAAAAAGCTGATAATAACATTACAGTAAAAGATTTATGGTTGCTTTCTAATTCTTCACTAGGTCTGTAGTACCTGGCAATGATGACAGATGGGCTGTTACAGTTTTAGGTTTAGAATGGCCAAAGGAAGAACTCCAAGAGAGAAACAGTTACCATCTAGAGAAAATTGGCCTGTTCAGATGAGAGGCTTTTACAATGAAAATTAAACAAAGAACCACCTGACTGGAACAATCAATGGGATTAAGTAAGATCCACTTGACTGGAACAATCAGTGTCACTTGAAAAGGGTGAATTATGAAAGGGCATTTACAGCTGTTTTAGGAAAGAAGCTGAAAAAAACCTGTGTTTGAATTGCAGGGAGTATCTAAAGTCCTATCCTAGCCTGAAGAATGCTCCAAGAAAATAGCAAAGCATTTGTGCTGTGAAGATCTGTAATCTGTGCTGGCTAGAGATCTGTTTGGGAACTTTATGAACTTGGCTGTTTGCCTCAGTTATTTTGAGTCCCTAAGGAGTTTACTTATAAGCACGGAACATCCATGAGGCTGAAGTAGATAAGGTTAGTGGAGATGCTGCTAGCTCAGGAAAGCTGAAGGCAGCTGGCTCTTGGAAAGGCAGGTAGAAGGGCAGGGAATTTGGGATTTTGGAGCCCAAAAGGAGCAGGGAGGTGCCCAGCAGAGGGAGCTCTGGCAGAGCCCACAGGTGAGCCCAGCACCCAGACTCACCTCGTAGATGCAGCACTGAATGATGGCGACGAGACTCAGGGCTACTGCGTGGAGACTGAAGAAAACATCATTGATGGCCACAGGGTTCACCCCGCTGGGATAACTGACCAGGAATTCCTCCTAGAGGTAAGAGAAAGCAAAACCAGCCACGTGTCTTAACTCCCGTCTGCACATACCCAGCCCCCAGCACGTGTTAAGAGAGAATCATGCTCACCTTAATCAAGGGAATCCAGAAGAGCCCAACATTAAACACACTGTATGCTATAAAGCCAGTAAGGTTTAATGCTAGAAAGTCAAAGCTTAGTCCAACAACACTAGAGAAGGGGGAAAAAAAAAAGAGAAACATGCATTAGTTACAGGCAGTTCCAGGGACAAATTGATCCTGGAATGTACTGATTTATAGGCAGTTTCTGGTGTAAGCAAAAGCTTCAGGCATTGTGACCACACAATGCTGTGAGTTCATCAGGAAGCTGGGTGAAATAACAGAGCTCTCATGGATCACTTTGTGTCTCTGCACCCTTCCATGAGCTCAGCCTGCCTGATAAAGCCCTTCCAGCCTGAATCCATAAAGCACAAGTGCATCAGTGCCAGATCAAATGGCTTCATTTTCATATATGATAATGCTCCTACTTCGAGTCACTTAGCTCAAGAATGAGCTGGCCTAATGATGACACCACAAGGAGGTGTCTGAGAAACAGCTCTCAAGGCTGGTATCTTTGAAAATGATCAGCACAGCTGGCTCAGCCAGATGATTTACAACACGGCACCAAAAGGAATGGGTAAGTCTCCTCTATCACAAATTCATACTGGATGCCAAATCTTAGGATGAGGTGTTTGTAGGATGCACTTGGTTTCCCTCTAGCCTGCATATATAAAAGCTCACTGGGACTGCAATTATTCAGACCCTACGTTTGCCTTATTCCCCATCTTTCCACAGATAATTCCCAATAATCAAGATGGATGTAACTGAAGCTATGAACATGATTTGCAGAAGTGTTTTAGTGACTTGCAAACACATCTCTCTTTACCTTTTCCGTCGCCAGTTCTCAAAGAGTTGAGGATAAAAGGAGATGGACCAGGCGAGGAAATAGATCCAGCCAATCACCTCATCAGCATATCTCACTATGATGCTGTGAATCACTTGAAATTGAATCCTAGGCCTGATGATTAATGCAAAAAGAATCAGTTAATTCATGTTTTTTTCAGGAGATTTTGTCTTGTTTTATTCTGAGAGAGGAAACAGAGTCCACGTGTTGAGACAGGACAATAAAGATTTGGTTGGGTTCAGCTGAGTTGCTCCCCTTTTCATTTGTGACCTTGTTATGATTGGGACACCTCCCACTCCTGAGTCTTTCCTTTCCATCCTTTCACCATGGGAATGTTCCCAAAGGTCACCTTGTGCCTGTGGCTTGCAGTCTGTCAGCACAGGCTCTGTTAGGCAAGAGCAGAGCTGCACTCCTCACGATCCTGCTGCCCTGTGAGTGTTCCACGTGCTCGCCTCTGCCTTTGCCTCCAGTCTCAAAAGCAGAAGCAAAACAAGGAAGTGAAACAGGAGTATCCTGTTGCTGTATCTGTATCTGGGCCACAAGTAAAGACAATCCAGCTTTCTCCATCTGGCTAGGCTTTTCCTAGGAGGGAGAACTGGCATCTGTGAGGAGAGGGCTCCCCTAACTGATGCACCCCAGGAACTCCAGAACAAATCCTGCACACAGTAAGAACACCACCCCACTGGACACTGACAGCCAAATGCTTACCAGATCAGAAAAGCTGATATGTAATCTTCATACTTTTGGGAGGCTCTATTAAAATCAAACTAAAGAGCCATGAGAACTCAGTCATCTTATAATTAAATCTAAGACACCACTCTGCTTCTGTGCCCTCTACTTATCTGAATACTTGGGGATTTGCTGCAGGGTTACCCCATCTTCTTAACTGCATCCCACTCACGTCCTATTTAACTCCTAGGAATAGTTACCCCAACTTTTAGGAAGCTACAGGATAGTAAGTAGAACAAAAAACCAGTTTCTCACCCAGTTAAGTTGGAATTTTTGGCATAAAGGTGAACTGTTACTTGTCCCACATCATCTGCTTTCACTTGGAAGTCTGCTTTAGTGTGACCTGCAGGGAACTGTACCTGCAAGGCAGAGCAGAGGGAAGAAAGGAGTTGCACCATAATAACAGGAGATTTTTGCA